CGGCCCAGATTTAATGAAGAATGAAATGGATGGCTTGGATGTAAGAGAAAGAAAATAAAAATAAAAAGATGAAAGAAGGTTTTGTGTGTGTGTGTACGTGAAAGGAAGAAGAAGAAGATGGAGGATTAGGCAAAGGTGCCCAATTAGAACAGGAGAGAGGGAGGAGTTGGGTCAACCAGACAGAAGAGAAAGTGGAGGACCAATCAGAGGGAGAAGAAAGGAGGAAAGGAGAGAGGGCGAGAAGCGGAGGAGAGAAGGAAGGAAACGGGTTTTCCCCCAACCCGTTTACCCGCGCACCCACCTCCATTTTTCCGACGATTTTCACCGGATTTGTCACGAATTGGATCAAGGTACCACTCCCAATCAACACCTAGGCCTTCCCTCTTCATGTTTCAACCCAAAAATCATGAAATTTGATGGTGATTTGGTGAAAACCGCACCCGTGGGTGCTGCGACTTTTTGTTCAAATTGTTCAAATCTTGAAATGTTTTCTTTCAATTACTAACACCATTAGCATTCCCCTAGGACCTGGAACAAAGCCCAAGCATTGGTTGGGACGGCGGTATTGATTTGAAGGTCAAATTGAAAACACCCAATTCTAGGGTTCTTCACGGTTTTGGTGAAATTGGAGCTCTTCCAGGCCAAATTGGCCTTGGCCACAGGTATAAAGTTTGCTCTACTCATTGAGATCTTAAATTCTGTATTTTTTGAGAATTTTTGGAAATAGTTGGATTTTCCGGCGAGCCGGGGCGGCCAACCGCCACCCGCGGCGGCCCGTGCGGCGGCGCGTGGCCAATGGCCCGCCAATGTCATTCTTAGCATGTGTTTAAGGTTCTAGGTTCAGTTTTGATAATTGATGGACGTAAATTGAATAATTGAACCTAAGCTCGTTACGATTCGTGGTTAGGTGAAAATATGAATTGACGATCCGACCGTTGGATCGTCACCAAACTTTGATACGTTGTAATACGTAATATTTGAGGATTATAGGAACTTATGGATTGGGAATCCGATTTACGGATCTTCCTGAATTGGAGTTGTAAGTTCATAAAATAGAATGTTAACCGTCACTTGATTTTGGAAATTGACGGAGATCCGACCGTTGGATGGTAATGAAATTTTAGGATGTTGTCCTAGAGGTATATTGTGGACCTCTGGAAGTTATGGATTTGAAATATGAGTTGCAGATCTTCCGGATTGAACTGCGTAGTGATGTGTTTTATATAAGTTATATTCTATCGATATGATTTCTGAGGTTAGATTTGATTATTGTTCTAGGCGCCGATCATCATGACGCCTTGATATGTTGTGCTAGGGAGTTGTTGGGCGAACTCCAGGTGAGTGGGCAGTACTTTCTATTTATACCTATATACTATGAATTTTCCCAGAAATTGAGTTTTAATGAAAGTATGTTTCTAAAATGCCATGCATGCATAATATGAATGATATGAGTTATATGAATTGATAATTGATGCATATATATATGTGTGTGTGTGAATTGGTGTTGTGGACGCACAGGTAAGTATCAGGTGAGTTTTATATTATTCATGTGAATCATTGATAATGTATATTATGTTGATAGCTCATAACCTGCAATCATGGTGTTAGTGCTTATATTATTCACCTTGCACCGCACGCTCACCTTGGATCCAAATAGGTGCATGTCGTACAGACCATGAGAGGGTTCCGACATGTCATACAGACCATGAGAGGGTTCCGACTGATAGGTGACCTTAGATTATGTGCACAGATGATTGATGAGAGAAGCACTAGAGCGTATTATTACACCATTCATGTCGTACAGACTACTTCAGGTAGTTCCGACTTATATGCAGTGTAGTGCCGCACAGGTCACCGAGGTGACTCCGGTTGGATTGGATGTTGAGCTATAGAATTAACCGTACAGGACCAACTGCAGGGTCTCCGGTTAATTCACCATTTCACCTGTTACATTGATGCATCATTCATTCTGTTTTTGAAATTATAACATGGCATACTTTCTGGTTTTTGAGAAAAATTGATGATTTGAGATTTATGAAAAGTATTATGCTATTATGCTATTTTCTGGGAAAGTATACAGGTTTTACAGCGAGGGGTTAAAAATGTTTTAAATGAAAAGTTTTCGAAAAACTTTGTTTTACTGACCCACTCAATTTTGTTTTGCGCCCCTCCAGGTTCTAGATAGCTGAGCTTTGGTGGCCACGAGGAATCCAACGGTGTTCTGACAAAATTCACAAAAGTAGGACTCACCCTCGGGTGTTTCATCTTAGTAATTGTATTTTTAAAGCTTCCGAACTGTGTAAATGGTTACGTCACTCTCACGTGACGGCCAACATGCCCTCCTTCGAGACGGGGTGTGTCAAGAAGTATCTTGGATAAGTTGATCTGGGCCTTGAAAGTGATAGTGGCCAAAAACTGGTGGAATGCTCTCGAAACCGATTCGACGGCTGAAAATTAAGAAAGTGTATGTGAAGTAAAAAAGGATATGTAGATAGTACAACCTTATATGAAATAATTTATTTTGTGGCTTTTCCTTTTAATTTTTTTGTCTCTATAATTTTTTTTATGCCACATATTAAATAATTAATTACTAAAGATGACAAACACTTTTGTGTGACAAAATTCTGATGTGGAAAGTGAGGACCACTTTGGTGGGCAAAATGTGACAAAGCAAGACTTCGATATGCTCTTAAAGAATTAAGTCTTTCCAATAAATTATTGGCATTTTCTCAAGCAAAGTTTTCTTTTTTCTTTTCTGGCGGGAATCTCATGTATGTCGAAGGGAAGGTTGTAGAAGGCAAATCATTTCTATATATTATTTTCTTTAAATTTTCGACCGACCTTCAAAATTGTACTAATCCCAAACTAAATGCCAAATGAGTTCATCCAAGGGTGGAGCTAGGAATATATTAATGGTGGACTAAGTTATTTTTCTTGTAGTATGGAGTGAATTTAGGTGTTGGGATAGGCTAAATTTTCATTATGTGCAATATTAGACTTAATTTTCCGAAACATACTTATTCTAACACAAAAAGTATTCATCTTCTAAACCTTGAGCCCAAGGTTCCGTCATTGTACACCTACTTATTGGAAAAAGACCGATGATCAATGAGTTTACTAATTAGTTATACTATATTTTCCTCTCGCTTTAACACTCATACAAATACACTTTTCTTAGCGCGTAAATTGCATTAAGATTAAACCTTATTGAACTACTATAGTTGGAGTGAGAGTCATTAAGATTAAACCTTATTGAACCACTATAGTTGGAGTGAGAGTTTAATCTAATTAGGGTTGAGAATTACATGAGAGAGTATGACTATATACTTGAGATAAGGAAAAGATAAGTAATTTTCATTTCATTTTGTTGAATTGACCAACTTCGAATATTTTAAACTTTTCAAAAACAATAATGAGAAACAAAATTCAAATGCGATGTTGTATTTTATGTCTTAACAAAGCATAACCTATTTGACTAAAAAAATGAAACACAAGTAAATAGAACTTTTAGAATAATTAAAATTTGCATTTATTTTTTAATTTGCAAACTATTCATTCTTAATTATTTGTCTAAAATATGCATAATTTTTACGTGTGTTTTTCTTTGATGAAGATAAATAGCCCCACGTGTATCAAATCTCTAAACGGCTAGTTAGTGTGGTTGTCATGATATTTGCTAGGGTTGGATTCGGTTTGCCAATTTGCTACCAGCCAGTCACATATACATTGTTATCGAAAATTAGTTATTGATGGCGAACTGACTTCTTACGGTTGCCAAAAATCAGTTTAGACGAAATTATTGGCTAGTTCGGTTGGTTAATGGCACAACACGCCGACTAGGAAGAACAACAAACCAGAAAATAAAAATAGAAGCTGTTACAATATTCTTTCAATTGATGGATAGGCCAACATAATAATAACTTAAAAGTTAAAATGGGAATCAAATCATAACTTAATAAGCCAACAACAATGTCATCAAACATAATCCAAATAGTTAATAGTTCACAAACTCAAAAGTCTAAATTATATAATTGTCTAAATCCAATGCAGTAACCAATGCAAAAGCAAAGTGAAAGTCAAAAGTTTGGTTCTGATTATAGGATCCCTTGATCGTGAATTAATTATTCGAAACACAATTTTTATGTATATATGTTGGTACCGTATACTATAGGTATACAAAATTCAATACCAAAGCCATATCATTAATAGTCGATACATTATAGTGCTAATTGATTATGAAAATATGACAAAACTCTCCCTTACCAATACGAGCCGAAGGGTATATGGTTGGGTTGGTACGTCAGTATATAGCAAAATTTCCCCAGCCCAAATGTTTGCCACATGAAAGAGGTATTTAGAATGCACTCTCGACCAGAATATAAGAAGTATTTGTCCTGGAAATTGCTACAATTTCACCCCAACCAGATTAAGCAAATTTGACAAATGTTCAAAGTATTATCAATTTCATTTAATTATTATTATCATCTTACACTGAATAAAAAAAAATGTCCCTTTTAAGATACACAGTGTATCAACACATAAAACAATAAAACATATATTGTTAGTAGTTTGAATACTAACTTTTAGTCTAACATAACTTAATTCTCAATGTTAGAAGAAGAGATGCTCCAATTTCAATCCTCTTTCTCACGTTGATAAAAAAAAATATTAGTAGTTTTTCTCACATGAAAACTATTAAAAAACGATTCAGATTTTGGACACTTCACTCCTACGTGTTCCACAAATATATTTATTCGAAAATTGTCTTAATTTACAGCATGTGATTTGCAGGTAGAACTTGGAAGTAGGTATACATTTTGTCATATACGTATATTACAACAAATCATATTTTTATACAAAATGACAACAAAATTATTTTATTAAACCAAATTTGGCATTTTTTCATACTATATGCTAAAACTATTGCTATCAGTGTGATAATATTTTCCTTATGGATTCGTTATTATATATAGGGGTGGGACTTTTGAGACCTTACCATCTCAAACTCCACAAACCATTTGTTCCCATCCTTTCATCTCCTTCCAAAAACACCTTCTTCCAAAGCTCTCCGTGAACCAGTAACCCTTTGACTCTCTGTCTGCCCTTTTCCTTCTCCATCTCCATAGAAAACCTAACAAAAAAGCTTTCATCTTTCACGTTTCTATATAAACCCCACTTCCCAATACTCTCTATATTTTCACTCTGTATCTTCGAAATCCTCGACTTTGATGACCATGCGGAGGAAAATGTGGATGTTTTCTCATTGATCGCCGCCTCCAACCCCCCAAAGCTTGTCTTTTGCGTGATGGAAGGTATGAAAAAACCTGCAAGAACTGCCACTGCCACCGCCACAGCCACCATTATCAACGCCTTGCTCATCAACAAAGCCTGTTCACAAAGTTTCCCTCTCTCCAAGCTCTCCTTCTGGTTCGCCCCAACAACTCGCCCTCCCGGTCTGCTCTTCTCCACCTTCGGTTCATAGATTTTTGCAAATACAAAGGGCGTAGAAAAATTAAACAAACAAACTAAACCCAGATGGACTTTTACGGTTTTAACTCCAAATCTTCATTTAATCCGAGCTTATTCGACCCTTTTAAGCATGGCGCAAGTGGGTTCGGCGGGGCTTTGCAGGGCGGTGCTGCGGCGGCTCTGCCTCACTCACTGGTTTTGGACAGTGAGAAAGGCGAGCTCGTTAAGGCTCCTGCGAGAGTGGGGAAAAAAGGGGTGTCTGAGGCTAAGGCTTTGGCGGCTTTGAAGAATCACAGTGAGGCCGAAAGGAGGAGGAGAGAGAGAATCAATGCACATCTGTCTACGCTTCGCGGTCTCGTGCCCTGCACTGAAAAGGTAAAGTAATTTTTATGGAGTTTGTTGATAGTTGTCCAACATCGGTGAGGTACAATGTTTGCTACGTGCTTATATGATTTTGGACTACTCTTTATATTCCAATTGGTTTTATGGTGGAACCTCAATTTCGTCAGAGTTTGCTGTCAAATTATATATTAGTTAGTCCTAATCAGTTTCATTTATGTTAGTTAATTTTAATTAGTAATACATGGATTTGTTGGATTGTGTTCATAGCTTGTTAATTTTTTTACTGGTTGTTAGTTAGTTGATATTTGTATCTTACTGAGTTTTCGATTCTTTATCCAATAGTTACACAACGTTTTCTTGTTGATTGGGAAGTGGTAATTTATGATCTGAAGTTTAGGTTCCTTTGAACTTTTAGGATGATAAATAGGTAGTAAACAAAAATAGAATTGAACATCTCAATTTATGATTACCTTCGAAAAGACTTGAGCAAAGATTTTGATTTTGTTTGCGCAAAATTGAAGAAACTGTTACGTTGAGTTTTCTTTACGTAGCTTGGCAGAAAGGGGTTTATCAGAATATGTAGCAAATTAAATGGAACAGGCTTACCGGGAAGAGCTGATAGTTTTTAGCTTTTTATAGTCTAATTTTATGCCAAACATCAAACATTTTTAAGCAAAATTTTCGAATGTTAAGAGTTTCCGTTGAAGATTTATCAAATACATTGATTCTGAACTTGAATAAAATTTTCTGTATACTAATATACTTTTATGTATCATGGATACAATGTATTTTTGGTTCATAAGAAGCAAAAGGCGATCGGTATGAAATAGTCCTTCTGATGTCATACATGATTATTATCAAGTTATGAGATCATGTAAAGAGAAGTTCATTTGCTCGTTCGTGCACATCATTCAAATTAACAAAGCTTTTTGTTACATTATTTGCGCCCTTGTAGAGTCAACTTTGTATGTAGAATTTACAAAGTCAACTCAAAGATACGTTATAAAATTTGAAAAGTAAAATCCATAACGTCTTCCATGCTAAGAACTTCAAGAACTATCTGTAAATTGGATCTGCAGTCGCTGTCTAGGTTACGTTTTGCATTTTAAATTAAATTAAGAATCTAAGCATAACTGCAGCCATGGTTACTATTTTCATATGCAATGAATCTTCCACCTGTTAGGTACAGCACACTATGCATTATGATGGAAGAAAAATTAGAAATTCTTGTTGTCGGCAGAGAACCTTTAGACTTTATATATTTTATAATCTACGAAGTCAAAGGCGTCTATAATAAAATTATAATTAAGTAGGCTGGATATTGTTTCATGCGAACCTCATCTTGCTTAATAATTTTCTAATCCTGTGGTTGTTTAACACTAAGTATATATATGGGATGCTTTGCTGTCAACTGTTACAGTCGATAGCAGACGATTCTATGTGTTTCGGGAAATATTGATGATTCTGATTGGATGATTGGGGTAGAGTGGCTGCTGTGTAGTAGATTGCATCACAAGGTCTGCATCTGGATTTATATTTTATGGCCTTAGATGTATCTTGCTCAACTGTTTAATTATGCAAATTAATTAATCTTAGTTATATCAAATTAGGGGCGCGCGGTAAGCAAGAAACAAATGTCTGGGGCGGTAACCACTAACTTTTTTTAATTTGAAGCTGAAGAGAGTATACGTATTAATTAAATAAATATTTTTAATTGCTTTTGTCGTCGACCACGCCTTCTTGGCTGAAACAGTCGGAAGACTAGCTCTGTAATTTCTGGACATAGTCTATGCTATGATAACTTATAAACATGGTTTTGCTGATGCTACTATAATTAGTAATTAATTATATATTGAGTCTACCTAAGCGAGCTTGGAAGTATGTGGAAAGTTGTATTCGAATCGCTAGCTAGGTGTCTGTTCATGTCTTTGTCAAGATTAAGTAGTTAAGTGGGTTTCTCCAGTTGACAAAGAAGGCGTCTTACTTGCATAAAATGACCGCCAATGGTTACGAATGGACCCTTATATTTGTATTGTACTATTATATATGCATGGATACATCTGCGTATCTAATTTCTTGTGTATGTATGTGTCCATGTATTTTGATCACTGCTTATATTTTCTTTCGGATAGTTATGCAGTTTATGCTGTTGACCAGTACTGCAACATAGCTCTAGTTGCTTGTATGAAAAGTAACAATAAATTTCGGTGTTTAAAAACATGAAAAAAGATTCGATGGCAACAAATTTGTCTTAACCTTGACCTAATTGTTCGTTACAGATGGACAAAGCCGCGTTACTTGCTGCAGTTATCAGCCAAGTGAAGGAACTGAAGAAGGATGCTCTAGAATCCAGTAAGGGGTTTCTCATCCCAGTTGATGACGATGAAGTGAAAGTTGAACCCTATGTCATTGGGGCAGGGGATGGAACCATATCTGTGAAGGCATCCGTCTGCTGTGAATACCGGTCTGAGCATCTCTCTGACCTAAGAGAAGCCCTCGACTCCCTCCACTTAAAAATGGTGAAGGCGGAAATAGCGACTTTGGGAAACCGAGTGAAAAATGTATTCGTTCTCACCAGCTTCAAAAAGGACAGCAACGATGCCAATACTGAAGCATACGAACTTCTTGCAAGTTCGGTTCACCAGGTCCTGAGTTCCGTCCTCGATAAGGCTTCGCCCTCACCAGAATACTCCCCGAGAACAACGCTGCCGAGCAAAAGGCAAAGGCTCTCTTACTTCGATAAAATCGATACCTCGAGCTCATCCTCGTGAGAGCAAGATTTGTGTGCGTTGCCACTTGCCGGCGATAATGAAGATGAAGATGTGCGCATATTGTAATTTCAAATATGGAGTTTGTTAAAAAAAAATTTAAAAAACAAAAATCTCTATTTATATTTTCAGACATGGATGCGTGGATATATCAATTATTTGTGATATCGAGGGAAGACAAAGCTGCTTGGATTGTAATTTAAATTGCAATGGCTAGTTTGATATTTTTATGTGTGTAAGGTACTTAAGTATTTGGTAAACTTTAGTTGTAAAAGTGTTTTTAGCCTTTTAATAATAAAATCAGTGTATGAATGTTTAGTAAAGTTTTATGTGAAAGTGTTATGATTGTGTCAAAATGACTAAAATGGGTAGGTTGATGAATGTGATATTATAATATTTATCTTAATATTTTTTTCATAATCTTGTAACTTCTCAATCTTCACTTAACAATCAAAGAGTTTTCCAAAAAACAAAAACAATCAAATAATCTAATAGAAGATAAACAAAAATTTGATTTATTGAAGAGAAGAAATGAAGAATATTATTGAGGAAAATCGTGATGTAAACAATTGAGATGGAAAAGATAAAAGTTTTGGGTTGCTTGAGTTACCAAACACAAATTAGACTCAACATATATATTTTTTTACCCTTGATTATTAATTAAGGGAGAAATTAGGTTCTCATTCTTATTTTTTCCTATTCCATTGATTAAAAGGAAAACTAATAAAAATGACTTGAAAACTTTGAGTTTTAATGATAAGGACAAAATAAAGGGTAAAGTTGATGAATGTGAAAGTGTTATGATTGTGTCAAAATGACTAAAATGGGTAGGTTGATGAATGTGATATTATAATATTTATCTTAATATTTTTTTCATAATCTTGTAACTTCTCAATCTTCACTTAACAATCAAAGAGTTTTCCAAAAAACAAAAACAATCAAATAATCTAATATAAGATAAACAAAAATTTGATTTATTGAAGAGAAGAAATGAAGAATATTATTGAGGAAAATCGTGATGTAAACAATTGAGATGGAAAAGATAAAAGTTTTGGGTTGCTTGAGTTACCAAACACAAATTAGACTCAACATATATATTTTTTTACCCTTGATTATTAATTAAGGGAGAAATTAGGTTCTCATTCTTATTTTTTCCTATTCCATTGATTAAAAGGAAAACTAATAAAAATGACTTGAAAACTTTGAGTTTTAATGATAAGGACAAAATAAAGGGTAAAGTTGATGAATGTGAAAGTGTTATGATTGTGTCAAAATGACTAAAATGGGTAGGTTGATGAATGTGATATTATAATATTTATCTTAATATTTTTTTCATAATCTTGTAACTTCTCAATCTTCACTTAACAATCAAAGAGTTTTCCAAAAAACAAAAACAATCAAATAATCTAATAGAAGATAAACAAAAATTTGATTTATTGAAGAGAAGAAATGAAGAATATTATTGAGGAAAATCGTGATGTAAACAATTGAGATGGAAAAGATAAAAGTTTTGGGTTGCTTGAGTTACCAAACACAAATTAGACTCAACATATATATTTTTTTACCCTTGATTATTAATTAAGGGAGAAATTAGGTTCTCATTCTTATTTTTTCCTATTCCATTGATTAAAAGGAAAAATAATAAAAATGACTTGAAAACTTTGAGTTTTAATGATAAGGACAAAATAAAGGGTAAAGTGAATAGTACCAGGATTGATTTTTTAATGTAAAAATGTGGTTTTTCGTTAAAGTGAACGGTACTGGAGCTTTTCGTTAAAGTTTCCTTGATTAAAACCTTATTCAATTTCAGCTTTTGATCAAGGTCCTTAGGTTTTAATGAATGTCATTATTTCAATAATAAATTATTTACATGTCAAGATAATTAAATTTTAGGGTAAAAGACTGTTTACTACCCTCATGTTTCGTGGTTTTCAACATTTAGTACATCAAGTTTTTTTCGTCTCAGATTCATACCTAAAGTATAAATTTTGGGACAGTCTCATACATCCGTTAGTCAAACTGTTAAGTCTCCCGTTAACTGTGACATGACGCCCATGTGGACACTGACTAGGTGCCACGTGTCATCCACGTTTTTTTTTCCCTTCTTCTTTCTTCTTCTTCTTCCGACTGCAACTTTTTTTTTTCTTCCTCCTTCTCCTTCTTCCTTCCTCCTTCTTCCTTCCCCTTCTTCCCCTTCTTCCTTCTTCTTCCTTCTCCTTCTCCTTCTTCTTCTTCTTCCTCCGAATCTAGGGAAGGTTTTTTTTTTCTTCTTCTTTCTTCTTCTTCCTCCTTCTTTCTCCTTCTTCTTCCTTCTTCGTCTTCTTCCTTCGACTGCAACTTTTTTTTTTCTTCCCCATTCTCCTTCTTCCTTCCCCTTCTTCCTTCTTCTTCTTCTTCTTCTTCCTTCGAATCTGAGGAAGATGAAGGTATTTTTTTTTTTTTGAGGAAGGTGAAGAAGAAGGAAGAAGGAAGAAGGGAAAGAAGGGGAATGAAGAAGGAGGAAGGAAGAAGGAGAAGAAGGAGGAAGGAAAAAAAATGTTGCAGTCGGAGGAAGAAGAATGAGGAAGAAGGAGGAAGAAGAAAAAAGAAGAAAAAAGAAAAGAAAAAAAACTGAATCTGGGAAGATTCGGAGGAAGAAGAAGAAGAGGAAGGAAGAAGGAGGAAGGAGAAGGAAGAAGGAGGAAGAAGAAAAAAAAAAACTTCCCCAGATTCGGAGGAAGAAGAAGAAGAAGGAGAAGGAGAAGGAAGAAGAAGGAAGGAGGGGAAGAAGAGGAAGGAAGAAGGAGGAAGGAAGAAGGAGAAGGAGGAAGAAAAAAAAAAGAAAAGTTGCAGTCGGAGGAAGAAGAAGAAAGAAGAAGGAAAAAAAGAAAAAAAAATGTGGATGACACATGAAGCCCAGTCAGTGTCCGCATGGCGCCACGTCACAGTTAACGGGAGATTTAACAGTTTGATTAACGGATGTATGAAACTGTCCCAAAATTTACACTTTAAGTATGAATCTGAGATGAAAAAAACTTGATGTACTAAATGTTGAAAACCACGAAACATGAGGGTAGTAAGCAGTCTTTTACCCTAAAATTTATTACTAAATATATTAATGTAGTAATATATTCATTTAGTGTTAGAAACGTTACATTTGTTATATTTATATTTATGTCTAAACTTTGTATTAAATATTTCTATTTTTAGTTTGTACCCATTTTTAATTTGCGACCCTTTTTTTAATTTGTACCAATTTTCTTTACAGTTTTAATTTGTACCCATGTATTAATTTTTTTGTTCCCATATTTTTAAATTTTTTATTAGTACTCATAATTTTTTCCCATTTTATTTGTACCCATAATTTATTTATAATGTACCCATGTATCTTTAAAAATGTACCACTTGTTATATGTGAAATTTCCCATTTTAATGTAAATCTATTTATTTATTTTAATCTAAAATCTATCCATTGTTGTTTATATAAAATGTACTCATTTTTTTAATATAAAACTTTCCCATTTTTTGTATAAAATGAAGGGGTGTGATATCCACTTTCTCATTTTTTGTATAAAATGAAGGGGTGTGATATCCACACACCCCATTTTACTTCTCACACACCCTTCTAATTTTCGACCGTTGGATCGGATGAATTGAAGAAGATCAACGGATAGAAATTAACAAGGGTGTGTGAGAAGTAATTTGGGATGTGTGAAGAAGATCAACGGATAGAAATTAAGAATGGTGTGTGAGAAGTAATTTGGGGTGTGTGGATAGCACACCCCAAAATGAACCCACATTTTTAAATTTATAATTACGTGCACCATTGTACTTTTGTTGTTAAAATTGAAGGAGAGGGGAAAAGGGTGAGAGAGAGAACGTGGAGAGAGGAGAGAGGGAGATATATTATTTTTTTTTTAAATTAGAGATGATAAAATTACATGTAGGTGGGGTTTAAAAAATAGTAAAATTTTGTCGTGTAAAATTACGTTTTTGTTCTTAACATTTTTATTGTGATAGAAGACAAAAAAATATTTTTATTCTCCTTTGATAAATGTAATTTTAGATAATTTTGCAAAACTAAAAGTAACAAAATAAAATACTTATTGCCTTGTCCGTCAGAGGGTCCACCATTTGCTGATTTGGCGATTTTTCATTGGCCAGTATGAGAAAAGGAGGGAAATCAAACCGTAGAGAAAACAATCGGCCTGTCACACTCCAGCCGCAACGAGGTATCTTCTTCTTCTTGTTATCTTCGAACTTGAACTCTTCACTCTGTCTGACAAACATTTTTTAATACTTTTACCCTTTTTTACGCTTCAATTTACGAAATCTTACCCCCCTAAACGGAACAAGTTAAAATATAAAGAACAATAAGAAGAAGAGGGCAAGCTTGCAAGTTGCAGCTAATCGCAGCAGAAAAATCATGGAGGGAGGCAGTGGTAAATCCATACTCCAATTCGCACCGTTTCAGAGCTCCGTCGACGAGGGTTTCTGGCACAGACTTTGTTCCTTGAAGCTCAACAAGTTCGGCGTCGACGACTCGCCTGTTCCCATCACCGGTTCGTTCTTTTTTTTCCTTTTTTTTTGGTTTAATTTCAGTAATTAATTGTGCAATTTCTGGGAAATAAAAAAGATAGAGAATTTCTGGTTTTTGGATTGTGGGTTTTGGAAATTCTTGTGCTTTTGTTGAAGAATTGTTTTAGTTGTGGATTATGAGGAAAAAAAGTTGAATTGTTGACTTTGTTTTGGATGTGGAATTGTTATTTTTCGTATTTTGCTGAGAAAATTTGGAGGAGGAAAAAGCAGCCAGAGTTGTAAATTGGGTTTCGAATTTTGATTAATTGGGACAACAAAGGTTTGATTTTTGTGAATTGTGATGAATGCTAGCGCTATACGATGTTGTTAAATTCTATGATTAGAATGTGAATTTATGTGTGATTTAAATACAGCGCTTTCGTGTAATCTGAGATATGGACTGACACTGTTGCAGGTTTCTACGCACCGTGCTCACATTCTCAAGTGTCTAATCATTTAACTCTAATGGCCGAGTCTTTGCCTTCGGATTCAAGTGAGGAATCATCGGTACAGGCAGTAAGTCGAGGCAATAGGAACAGATGCTCCGTTCCTGGAATCATTTACAACACCAATACGGTTGAAGGGTTTCATGCACTTGATAAACAGGGCTTGCTTAAGGCAGAAGCACAAAAGGTATTGAACGTATCTAGAATGTTTTACTTTTGTGAGTGACAGTAAAATATATTGTTTTCGGTTGAAATATCATGTAGGCGGATTGATAGGGTTGGATGACAATGAATTTAAATGTTGCTTAACACGTCTGCTTCTTGTTCGTAATCAGATTTGGGAGGATGTTCGTAGTGGAAAAGCATTGGAGGATAGTTCAGTGCTTTCGAGATTCCTCCTCATCTCTTTTGCAGACCTGAAAAAATGGAGCTTTCATTACTGGTTTGCATTCCCTGCTTTGGTGCTTGAACCTCCAGCAACCTTGGTTAATTTGAGGCCAGCTTCCCAATGTTTTAGCTCGGAGGAGGTATGTCGGTTGTGTTTTTTATTCGATGCACAGTAGAAAGGTATTTAGATGTTACTTTTATCAACTCTAACACCATTGTTATATCTTTAGGCAGAATCTGTTTCAGCAGCGTTTAACGAGTGGCGTAACTCATACCTAACAGCAGGTATATATATATATGTCTCATATGCTATTTTGTCGATTGTCTACTAAATCTTCTTCCTATGTGTACATATGCTCGGATGTAAAGCTTGAATGTTCCTTCTAACCTATTTTGTCTGATTCAGATGTGCCATTCTTCCTGGTTCATATTGATTCAAATTCACACGCTACTATTAAGCATCTAAAGGATTGGGAAACTTCCCAAAGTGCTGATGATGGTCACAAGGTCTGTTCGCATAACTTTTGATTTTGAACCATTTAGGTGTCAGAAAACGGGAATAATTTTTTAGATTGTAGTATTTCTGGTTCAACTTTCTCATAGTTACTTTGTGTGCCATTGCAGTTACTATTTGGTTTTTATGATCCATGTCATCTTCCAAACCATCCCGGTTGGCCTCTTCGCAACCTCCTTGCACTTGCTGGCTCGAGATGGGATCTAAAGTCTGTTCACTTTTTATGCTATAGAGAGAGTCGTGGTTTTGCAGATCTGGGATTGTCCCTTGTTGGGGAAGCCATGATTACAATTCCGCCAGGTAGTGCTGCAGAAATTGGGTAACAGTTGGGTTTTGCTTTAGTTTCTCTTCTACAATTTGAATATGCTTGCATCTGTAGGTACTCTAACTCGGATTTTTATATGTTTTTAGGATGGAGAAATCATGGTCATGTACTAAATGCAGTCGGGTGGGAACTTAACAAAGGGAGAAAAGTACCCAGGATAATAAGCCTTGCTAAATCTATGGATCCAACTAGGTATGTTGTCTCTATTGGCACTCTATAGTCGATAACATTACTAGTCCATTGTTATCTTAGTGTCTTTTGATAATTTTTACAGGTTGGCCATATCTGCTGCAGATTTGAACTTGAAACTAATGAGGTGGCGTGCTTTGCCTTCTCTGAACTTAAATAGCTTGTCTTCTCTCAAGTGTCTCCTCCTTGGAGCTGGTACACTTGGATGCCAGGTTGCTCGCATGCTTATGGTGAGTGCTCCAAACTCCAAAGTCCAAATAAATTCTGGTTCTTTCTAAGCATCTATTTGGTGACTGAAGGGTACATGTTTTACAGGCTTGGGGTGTCCGGAACATTACGTTGGTTGACAATGGCAGGGTCGCTATGTCTAATCCTCTGAGGCAATCCTTGTATACGTTAGATGACTGCCTAAATGGCGGTGAATATAAAGCAACAGCAGCAGTTAATAGTCTCAAGAGAATCTTTCCAGCTGTGGTAATTAATTTCATCTCTGTCCTCTAAAATACATGGTTTAAACCGATAATTTGTTGATTTTCTTATACTGCCTGTCCATCTCTTTGTTCTTTTACCAGGAAGCAGAGGGTGTCATCATGGCTATACCAATGCCTGGACATCCTGTTCCGAGTCAAGAAGAGCAGAGTGTGCTTGATGATTGTAGACGACTAGATGATTTAATTGATTCTCACAATGTAGTTTTCCTGCTGACTGATACAAGAGAAAGTCGGTGGTTACCATCTCTCCTTTGTGCAAATACTAACAAGGTGTGTTGACTTAGTCTTTTAACATCTTGCACTGCGGTGTGGTGTAATGTGGCTATTTGTCAGATATAATTGTAATTCTGAGTCACGAGTCACGTCTAAATTAAGATGATCTGGTTACCTGATTCAAAAATATTGGATATTTGAATTAGCTATCTTACCAAAATGACATTCATATTTTCTAATGATAAATCTTTATTATTTACTTGTTTGCAGATTACTATAACTGCAGCTTTAGGGTTTGATAGCTTCTTGGTTATGCGCCATGGAGCAGGTCCTTGTAGCTCTAGCCATGACTCAAAAACTGAAGCTGAAAATTCTTTATCTGCGGATATGAGCAACCTTGGCCTTACCAATGGAAACGGAGGGAAAAGATTGGGCTGTTACTTCTGCAATGATGTCGTTGCGCCTATTGATGTAAGTTTTTAGATTGCAATAGCTATGATATTGAGGTGTTCTTCCATGTATGTCGAGTACATAAATAAGCCTTTTGTTCCCTGCGCAGTCAACTTCAAACCGCACGTTGGACCAGCAATGCACTGTTACACGTCCAGGCCTTGCTCTGATTGCCTCAGCTCTTGCAGTTGAGCTCTTAGTGGGGATCCTGCATCACCCTCATGGGTAAATCCTTGGAAATTTTTGAAATTTGTCACTGTTTATTAGCTTTATAAGTTTTTCATATTTTGACTTGTCACGGTTAAGAGCTAAATAGAAGGTCCACATTGGGTTTTCCAACTGTTGACTTGAAATTTTGATGATAACTGCTTGTTCAGGATATTCGCGGAAGGTGAGGTGGTGAACTCCAGCAATAGTGGAAGCAGTGAGCAGCCTCTTGGTATTTTACCCCATCAAATTCGAGGTTCCCTCGCACAGTTTTCACAGATGACACTTGTGGGCCACTCCTCGGACAGTTGCACAGCTTGTTGCGGCACTGTAAGCTTTCCCGTGCTTGGTGTCTTTTTTGTGGTGGTCATGATATTTTGCTAGATGCCTTGTTACGCACTCCTTTCACCAATGTGCATGGCTAATTTCGAATTATTGACCGCAAATGACTGGTTTCAGGTGGTGTCTGAATATCGGAAAAGAGGAATGGAATTTATACTGCAAGCAATCAACCATCCTACATATCTGGAGGACCTAACTGGACTGACAGAGCTCATGAAATCAGCTAGTAAATTCGAGTTGGACTGGGACGATGGGACGGATGAAGACGATGATGATTTGGTTGAAGTTTGATGGAAGGGGTTCTAAATTATCTATGCTGCAATTCATTCTCAATTGTACATATATGCTCAGGAAAGTAATATTCAACCATGTCATATTCGTAGATGCCCTTTACCGTAGTGGCGGAAAACAATCATGCCTATGCACTCTGGTGCAGATTCAATCCCCTCCCTCCAAACAACTTACTATTTAACCCACTAACGCTAGCGTTTGTAAAACAAATCATGTAATATTCAATTTGTTTGTTCTTGACGTGATCAATTCTAAATTGTAAGCTGTACTGCTCTGTGAAAGAATATATTTGAAGTTCAACCCAAGTTGTTGTTTGTAACGATTTTTAACCTACCAAGTTGGGAGATTTTGTTCCCCGTAAACACGACATTGTTCGTGCTATCATAAAATAACAGCATCAAGTGTGTGTCTGAGCATTTTGAAACAAGTACGGTAAAAGTATTGCTTATTGAAACCGACGACTAGAGTACGTAGCGTGACCTGAAAATTTTGGTCACACCACAATGCGTGTTGCGTGTTTGAGCATGTAGCACAAGTTTAAACAGCCTAGGATTTGGCTCAGCTGGTCCTAGTCGTTGCAAGGACTTCTGAAAGTTTGAATGGTGCGGCAACAGTAAACCTGATCTGGCTTTTTCTTGTCCTTGAAGCGCGTTGTGCCGGCGCTGCCTCGGATCACAAACATTAAAAATGCAGACCACATTTGAAACAAGAACTTCAAAGGAGCTTCAAAAGGCAGAAAAAGGCAACAGTTTTTTCTCTCGAAAGAGTAGAGGATGAGGAGAAGTTTCAAAATCAAACTCAAAGTCTACCACTTCAAAGTCTACCTAGACTTTGCCATAAGGTTGAAACTTAGTGGGGTTTGCACTTTTCTTCTTAAAAGCCACTATCAGTTATTTCAATAGCGAATAGGTCGAGAAGAACTTGCTTAAACCTTGATGTAACTGTGGCGATATCTCAAGTAAATCACGTTGTGTTATGTGCAAAAGTTACATATAGCAACGCTTAATTGATTTACGATACTATCACATGGTACGACTAGGGTAAGTTTAACTACAATACGCACTTATTGTGCAGCTGATGTTGGTTATGCATATTGACGTTGTATGACTAATCTTCCACCCGATCTCGTAAGTTAGTGGACTCTCCATTTGGGTTGTTGGCGTGTGTGTATCACGTTTTGAGTTGCTGGCGTTCCACGGGGCAAAAACGAGACGAACTTCGTTGCAACGAGAGAGAATTACATCATCTGGAGACTTCAAACCGTATGGAGTGTCTGCATTTTTGTTATCCTTTCTTTTTTCTGGAACAAGGATATATTATTGTGGTGGTCTCCAAAAATATTGTCACGCATAAAAGCAAAACGCGCAATAGGTTGTGGTTAGCGTGGAATACTGCTATAGTAACATCTTAGTGTAGAGAATTTTTTTTTTTTTTTTGGATGAAAAGACATTGAAATTATGCCCCTTAACACCTTTCCATTAATGTTTTTGGAAGCAAAGCAATGTTAATCTCGACAAGTTAGGGCATGCATCCAACTCAAAACACGTATAAATTGACGAATACGAAAAGGATTTTAAATATTTAACAAACCCTCTTAAAAGGACTGCACTGAAATGATAGCTGAACAGGAGTGTTAACACATCAAAATGTTTACATGATATAATTAATACAAAGTTTGTTATTGTGAGTCGCTAAACTTTGGCTGTTAACGCATTGTGATTTATGCATGTTGGATGAAGGTAGATCTGTAGTGTATATACTTCAAAATTTGCTCACTGTCTCATAAGATGTAGCACAGGGCCGGCCATGAGAATTTGAAGGCCCTAGGCGAGCCTTCAAAGTAGGGCCCTAAAATTCTCTGATCTCCGGTTATTTGTATATTGATTTGTATAAAAAAGAATTCGCTAAATACATAAAAAATTCTATTTTCACATCAAATATCATTAAAAATTAATATCAAAAGAAGATAAATATACAAACATTATTTAAACATTACACGATTTACGTTTTTAGACACAAATGTATTAAATAATTGCAGTCAAGAGTCTAAGATTGAGAGTGAAGAACAATAAAACTAGATGATCAAAAGAGTAAATAACAATAAAACTTGATTGACGAGTATAATAAATTCAACGCCAATTGTTTTTCTTGTGTTTTTTTTTTCTTGTAAAATCAACATCACACTAATGAATTGAATATTAAAATAATCCATTGAATAAAAAGTTATTGAAAAGAAAAATATAAATTCAAAGTTTTGATTACCTTAAAGTACAATCTTCAAGACCATATGATAGTTGATTTAAACATTCAATAGAAATGGAGATAATGGGAAGTTGGTTTAAACATTCGATAGAAATGGAGAGAATGAGAAGTTGAAAGAAAAAGGATTGTAAAGAGACTTGAGTTTAATAATTTTATATGTATTTGGACAGATGGATTGGGAGTTGGACAGATGAATTGGCAGTAAATTTGAAAAACAAGAAAAATCTAGTGACTGAAAGGCAGCTTCGTGTTTTGAACTCAACGCCCCAAAAGAAAAATGAAGCCAACATTTCCACTGCACTAACAAATGAATTATGATATTTTTTACTTTTTTTTGTATTTATATGTTAACTACAAGATATAAATTTTTTTTTGAAAGCCCTTCCAAAATGGAGACCATAAGCGGATGCCTACTTGGACTATCCTTAGGACCGGCCCTGATGTAGCAGCAGCTATATAATTCATAAAGGAAGAACTTTGGATGGTGGTGGGTGGTACACATCAGAAAAGCACTAGTTTCTTGTCATATTTTTAGCTAAACACGAACACAAACACCTCATGATACAATAATCGAACTAAAAAACCGTATTGCGCTTGATGTGACTACTGTTTCACACGTTGGAAAATTCAAAGAATTTGTGGTGGAACTTCCACGCCATCATATATATCATATCTGATGTCTATCTGCGTGCTATTGGGGCCGCAATGCAACTCCACCAAAACGAGGATACTTTGAATGAAATGATCAAATGGTCAATACTGGTGATCGATGCGTGTGTCCAAGTGGTGCGCCAAACTCTTAGATATATGCAGATTGTCCCGAATAGTTCTTGACCAAAGGCTAGGGTTTTAAAGGAAAGAAAAACAAAATAGATTGTTTGGCAGAAGTTTTGGTGGCTGTAAAAGGCCACATATCAGAATAAGAGATAAGGAAGAAAATGTGCGCAGTTTTTATACCAAACTCTTTTCTTCTAATTCGGTAAAAGATGCGTTTTTACTTTCTCACATAACAATGCATGATTGATTTAAGATGCTGTCATAAGAGTATGTGTAGTTTTTAATGCCGAACTCTTTTCCTCTAATCCGGTAGAAAATGCATTTTTACTTTCTCATATAACAATGCATGATTGATGTACGGATACAATCACAAGAGTATCTCTTTCTGTAAAAATTGTCAAAGTGGAGACAACTACCATTAAAATATTTGGCGTGAGTCCGAGAAGAAATATCATTTAACCAATACTTGACTGCCATTATAGACGTGCAAATATCTTAAACAAAGAGTTCACCACCTTTGTTCCCGAATTTGGACGCCAATTGGTCTTTCTCTCAATTCATGGTGGTATGGGATAAAACCTAACTAATTATGGAGTTTAGATCATTTGCACTCTGCAGGAAAATGTAGAAAGCCAACGGTGCAAGATGGCCAAATATTTTGGACTAGACCAACCAAATCTGGACCTAATTATTCAAGCATAGAATCCAACTGGAAGAAAAAGGACACAATTTTGAGTAAATTTACATATCAGCATATCATAATTTAATTTTTCTTTTTAAAATAAGTGTCACAATTTTAAGTCCACTACTAAATTTTTATGTAAGCTTATCGTGTAGCGTACTCTTTCCTACTATTTTAGTATAAATATATCCTTAAATGTAGTAGTCTATAAGCATGTGGGTGAGCAGAATCCCAAGCCAAAATCAACTTCTTTTAACGTAACAAGCTATAGCTTAGCTAGCAAAAGATCAAACATCATTAATTTATGTAACATTGTTATCAAGATTAGATATGAAGATATATTTTTCTTGCTGCAACATACAAATGGGGAGATCAGATCCTTCAAGCAACAGATCCACCAAAACGAAACCATGCATGTGAGAAAATCTCAAACATTGAGATTAAAGAAAAAACAAATGCTAGATCTGATAGGATTAATAGTGCAGCAACCCATTAATTCTCTGCATGAATGGAGGACACCTGTATGAGATCAAAACTTTCTGACCTTGCAGGAAAATCAGTGCAGGTGCCCTCTTTCCCTGATTCCCACATGCCTCAAAGTGTAGCTCTAGCTCACATCTCAGAACAACGATAATTATTAATTAGGATTAGTCTAAAGTTTTAAAGTGCCAACGTGAGTTGAATCAATTTGTTATAATAGTGTATAGTGTATTTGTAATTTTGTATTCGACTTTAAATCTCTTTCTCAGTAAATTAGTGTAACTTAAACCATCATTTTTTCTAAAACTAAAATACGAAGTTATTGATAATAAAAGAAACTTTAGGTCAAAAATAGTCTAAGCCGTCTGAATTTGATCACCTCCAAGTAACTTCCCCACAGTGGAGTAGGTGATGTGTAGGGGACCCTCCTCCCCTCTACACAAGTAACACAACCCCCCATATAATAAACCCTAATCTAGAAAACAGGTTGGTCCACACATGCAAAAATAATTCATTAGATTAACAAAAAAAAGTTTATATATGCATGTATGTTGAATTATAATTTGTCTATAAATAGAAATAACGTATTCTAAATGAAGAGTCAAATTTTCATTAAACACTCATAACGCCGCCGTCCAAAATAACATTCTTGTAATTCGAGATATTAGTCAAGGGCCATACGGGAATACGATTGAAATATAATAATACCAATGTTGAAGATCATATATTATACACAAATATTTCATTTAAATATCTGTCACGGTTTGTGAGCCCCAATAGTCAGCTTATACTGTTTCCTGTGCATGTGCTTTGTGCTCCCTTCAGTTTCTTTCATCTTTCTAAAGTCGTCCTTCTTCGTCCCTCTGATCCCATAAAGCCACCAACACCTCTCTCTCTCGTAAAAGTCTGACTCCCATAGAAATTTGCATAAACAAACCAAAACCCCGCACAGTTTCTCAACCTCTCTCTCTCTCTCACGTAAACATGTCTGATTCTAATTCTACACCTGCTTCTTCTTCTTCTCCTTCTCCTCTATGGGTATATTCTTACATAAAGCTTAGGTTTTTCAACCGAGTCCAACGGTTCCTACGCTCCAAAAGCGCCCGCAAGCGCCCTACGCCGTC